TGTGTGACCACCACACTTCCATTCATTGGCTCTCTTTGGAATTTAAGAAATGGGGACAGGAAATCCTAGTTCGATAGAGGATTTTTTTTTTCCTTTCCAGCTGCTGATGACTGAAAAGGGAGATGACGCTTTCTGACCAACTATAGCATTTCAACACTCACCAGGGTTACGTCACTAAGCAGAATGGAACACAAAGCACAACCTACCATAAGGGTATTTGGTATCCAGCTTTCTCTCCGCTGTCCTCCTCCAAGGCAAGACGTCATCACTGCACCCATTTGGCATTCCATTGTATCCAATCCCAACAATCTTGTTTTCTGCATTCACAATGCAGGCTCCAACCTACAGGGAAATATGCTCAAAGGCTTGGTGACTTCGAGTAGCTGGAGAAGCAGTCAATGAAACCAGAGGCTTGCAGACCTCCAAAATGGGCAGTTCAGTGGCAGTTCCCACAAGCCAAAGAAAGAGCACTCCTGACCCCAGGGCGGGTACAAGAGGCAGTGCACGATAGCACATGACAATTTACTCTCTCGAAGGAAAATGTAAGCATGTGGGAATGCAGCACAAAAGACAGCAGTTTTATTCAGCCTTTGTAAACTGACAGGTGTAAACCCAGTCTCTTCCTTTTGTAATGTGCTCGCTTACAGGGTATCTCTGTGTCTGGGACGGTCCAAAAGTTCTCCATAAAACTCACTTACCTGGGAGTTTGGATCTTTGCTTCTCTGTGCCGATAAGAAGGCCACTGCCATGAAATACTCAGGCCATTCCAAATAGTCCTCCCGTTTCTTGCAAGGAACCTCACTCATGCTGAGTCTACAAGGAAAACATGACAAAACAGCAGTGGAGAAAAGCATTTTGGTAAATCTGCTTTCCAATTCAACCCAACCACATTTCAACTTTGTATCTCCAAACTCAGCGACACCTTCACTTAACACTCACAAATCAGGAATCACAGAACATGGATCCCCAGACATGGGCTTTTAAGAAAAAATTTAAGAAGTTACTATTTCAGGAGTTTGAAGTTAGCACATACAGCTTCACTTTTCCAAATATTACATCTATTTACTGTTTTGTCATAGGATTTTTGTTATTGTTAATACAAATGCCTGCCCTACAAATTCTCATCCTTCACCTCTCTCTGTCTTATAAAATGGAGCCAGCACAATAGGGAGGGGGGAAGAACATTTATTGATCATCTAATATATTTCAGATACGGTTAAAGGTTTTACATAGCACCTCACTCAAACCTCATTCCTAGCTAAGGTACAGAGTAACAACATCTCAGAGACTCCAAAAACTTAGGCAACTCTCCCTAAATCACACAGGATTATATCCGTGCCAGTCTAATTCAATGTGGAGCTGTCCCAACTCTGACATTGATCAGAAAATGTGTCCCTTCCATTTCCTCTTAGTTTCCCCAGACGGGACAGAGTTCTCAACTCTGAGTGCTGAATCAAATGAAGAGAAACTATGAAAAGTGTCACGTTTTAGTAACATGGGCTTTATGCATGAGCAGGCACAAGCTGCTGCTACAACAGGGAGAGCCCCTGAAGGGGACCTACAACTTCCAGTAAAGTGGGTCCTTTCAAGGACAAGGAAGGAGGGCAACACAAGATTTAGGTAAGTATCACCGAGAAGTCTCCAGAAAGCCTAGACGTTTGGGCTAAAGGAAAGTGAGTACTTCCCCCACACTTCAAGCCGGGAAGCTCATGCTAAGGTGCAGAGCAGCAGTGGGCGAGGCTGGGATGCTGGGAACTGGTGGGTATTGGGAACCAGGCTCACCCACTGATTATGTTGCCCGAACTCTCAGAAGCCTGTGAATCCTCTTAGTTCAAGCGATGCTGCACTGGAACCTGGCTAAAGGGTTCGCACCATAATCACCGTGGGGTGCCAGGAAAGTGCCTACTACACAGGAGGCGGGGAAAGGGAAGGAAAGGAAGGAAAGGAACTTATCCTCCACCGGGCGCCTTCCCCGAGTCTGGTTCAACGCTCGTTGGTGCCCCAAACCCAGCCACAGAAACAGAGGAGGGACAACTAGTCGGGGGACATATACCTAGTCACCGGCCGGGACAGAACCCAAGCTCCCCCCCTCCCCCCTCAATTCCGATCCCGGGACGAAACCACGCATTCCCACCGCACACGCGAGCGCAGGAAGTGACTGCCACGTTCAGAGCCGCACATCGACCCTCCCGCGTCTTCCCGGACGGGGAGAGCCTCCCGCAGGCCGCGCTGCCCGCCACGAAGTTCGCCGAGCACTCCCGGCCCCGCACTCGTGTGCCGAGAAGGGGACGGGCTCGGGGGTTCCTCGCCCCAGGCCTCTGCCGCGCGCCCCGCGCTCCAGCCGCCCCCCGTGGCGCGCGGGCCGCGTACCCGCACAGCCGGCCCCCGCCCACCCTCGGGTCCCGCTCCGCGACCTGCAGGCCGGCGCTCGTCCCCGCCGCGCCGCGGGAAGGAAGTCGGGAGAGGAGGCGGGGCCGCCGCGTCGCCGGAAGGCAGCCCGGGTCCCCGCGGCCGCGCACTCTGAGGGGGTCGGGGCGGCGCGCACCGGGCGGGGTCGCCTGGCTTCCTCGTCCCGGTCGTACCGCGAGCTCGCGCAGCCAGAGGTGTTCCCGGCGACCTTTGGGTTTTGCCCCCGGCCTTGGCTCTGGGTCGCGCATGTGCGCCCGCCCCGCCGCCCCGCCGCCCCGGGTCGTAGGATCCTGGAGCCTCCGCCCGCGCTCGCGGACCCGGGTGTGGGCGCCGGCCGCTCCAAGGCTCTGACTTCATAACCGTTGCATTTTTCAGATCTCTGAATCTGAAGGTTGGGTGGTTCTTGTTGATGGTGAGGTGTTTGTTTTTTTCCCCCCACCTGAATCCACGGTCAACTACTTAAAGCTCTCGCCACAGTTATGGACGTAATACGTGAACAAAAAACGACGCGAAAGAATCTAATGCAATGAAACTGAAAGGGGCGGGAAGTGAGATCTGGTTTTGTCCTCTGGCATGGGCCTGCTGTGTCACTGTGTCCTCGAGAGGAATATTGACCAGGAGCAGCTTCACGGGGTCAGACAGGGACGCTGTGCCTCCAGGCGCCGATGCTTGGAAGCTCTATTTGCATTTGTGCTTTGCATGGCCAGTTGACTGTTTCTACTCAAATTGTGGAAGGGCCTGCATGGGTACTAAAGTCTGCAACCCCTGCCCAACTCCCAGCACGCGACCACACACCTCTCTTGGTATTCCCCTTTAAGGTTGCCGGCTATAAAATTGTGCCTATTTTGTTACAGTTTAAAATATCAGAAAAACATGGCATAGGTCAAAAGGAAAGACCTTCAGTGACATTTCTGAAGTCATAGGCCCCAAGGAACTAAATCAGATTTTCTTGAACTTCATTACCCAGACGTCTAGCTCCTAAGTCTGGTGGAACATTGGTTCCAGCGCAGAGAATGACAAAAGAGCCCCTTATTGTTTTACACATGGGGTTTGAGGATACTGTCAGCACTCCATAAATAATAGCTACTGTAATAATCACGAGTTCTGATCCGCACATCCCAGATCTGAGCCACTAATCCAAACAAAAGCTTGTTAACTATATTAATTTAGCCTAACGGAGGAAGAACGATGAGAATAAACAGTTGGTTCTATCTAATTTCTCACTACAGCAGACACATCATTCTTCATCTCCATCGTCCAGCCTGTAGATTCAATAATTAAATTATGTACTGCATTCGGTGGCTGCCGGGAAAGCAAAGGGGAAAAATACTTCATCGTTAAGTATAGATTTTTTTTCCTTGATAAGACTCAGGCTTGAAAGAGCTACATAGATTAAGATGATGATTTTTAATGTCAAGTTAACTTTACTTGGCTGTCTTGTTGCCCTAAAATTTATTATATGCTGAGCTCCTGTTTCCTCTCCCCCTCCCAAATCCACTGCTTGGTCTTTGTCACAGTCATGCATACTCTTTGAGTCTTCATAGATCCATTTCTCTTTTTACCAACCTCCAACCTATACATCACCAATTGCTGCTGGTCCTTCAACCACAACATCATTAAGCTTTCTTCCTTCCTCTGCTCTGCAAAGACTGTCATACATAATTTAGTTACTTCTTATCATTCTCCATTTTGGTCAACTCACACATTCCCCTCAGCCATAAATTCAGGATCCTGCTTGCTGCAAACACATTACCCTGAATGTTCCTGCATTTCACTGAAAGTGTCCCAGCTTATAAAATGATATCATTCATAATACAGGAAATCCCCCTGATTCATAGTTTCACAACTTGAGGTTTCAATTATTCTGCACCAACGGCAAACCCAGGCAGCCAAGGAGGAAAGAAAAAATGCATTTCTTGGTTTATCTTGCTCATTAACACCTTGTAACTCCAAGTGTGGCTGTAGGTGTTAAGTCTCTCTTGTTAATATGTACCTTGTATTTTGGTTTATAATTGAAGATCTTTCTCCCCCACAATGTTTTCAGCCATATCAAGAGCAAGGAGGGGGGCTTCACATGAGGTGAACACAATCAAACATTTGTGAGGACTATTGTCTCAGATGTTGGCTTAGCTCCTCTTTTCCCAGGCCTGCAGGTAACCTATGTCTGATCTATTGCATAACCTGAAATATATTTTGGTACCTCAAAGGTGGGGGGATCCAGATTAAAAAGAAATCAAGGTAAGATTCTTCTGGGGCTACTTCTGAAGGGTCTTTGATGTCATTCATGGGTGTCTGCTCTACCAAGATACCACTTACCACTTTTCCCACTGCCTCTGCTTGCCCAGGAATGGATGTGACTTGCAACCAGGAAACTGAGGCAGGGAATCTGGAAAGTTGCCTGTACATCAAGTTTGTCATGAGAGAAAGGGCATAGGCCTTGGAGTCAAACCAGATTTAGAACTCTAATTCTAAGTTCTTACCACCCAAGTGACCTTCAGAAGGTACTTACATTCTCGGAGTCTTTGTTTCGTCATCTGTGAATCAACAACATTCATTCATTCAATCATTTTTTATTAATTCTGTATGTGCTAGATGCTATGAATACCAACAATGAACAAGATAAACCAGTTCTTGCCCTCGCAGTGCTTACCCTCCCCCCACCATCTCAAATAAATGCTGAATAAATGAACCTCATTGCTGGCTCAGTTAACACAAGATAATTGCCTTATAATAAGTGTTATTATAAGATAAAGCGCCTGTTGGAATAACTTTGTTCTTAATCCAGTGGTTGTCAGAACCAAAAACTTTTCGTAGCCCAACAGCTGTTCTTAGAGGCAAAGTACCACTTTGACTGTTTTTCAAAGGAACAATTGTGTATGTTTCCATGCAGCAGTCCATACTAGAAAGAACTGTTTAAATGTAAGTAAGGGGATAACTGGAATATCTGCTAAGCCAGAAAAGAAGTCAATGAAAATTCTAGAAAAAGATTAAGCATATGGTCTTGTCAATAGATACATTTTTATGTGTGTTAGAATATGAGGTCAGTTGTTCATGTTCAGTGAAAGATATATGTAGACTACAGATTGATATGACAGAATATTCCTATCAAAAACAGTCAAGATCCTTAAACAGGATTTGTGTTATGGGTTGAGGCTCCCAATATCTTTATCATTACATGGATTCAAAATGACAATGAAGATCAATGAGGAAATGTTAACTTGGCATATGAACAGAGCTGGAGTCTTTGCTATTATATATCAATAAATGTTGACTAAATAAAGAAATTGATAGACAATAATTGCTTTATACCAAATTTTTGGATCATTCAACATGGAAAAAAGAAGTCTTCCTTCGTGAACTTTGGTTATATCTATCTGCTTCCTTTATCTCCTTGTGTTTAATAGACTTGGAAAGACATTTAATAAGTGAAACATTGGGGTTGGTGGGTCAGAAACCAAGGACAAGCAGAGCTGTTTTCAAGATGTGTGGTATCTCAGTCTTAGGATTTTGGCCTTGGCCTATAAATAAATACCTCTACTACCAGAACGGCAGGCTGCTGGGAAGACTGTGTGCTTTTTCGTGGTATATCAGTTCTCCCCACAACTTGCTTTTTCTCTACAGAGCTGAACTTGTAGCCCCTTTCATACATAGCTGGTTGAAGTTGATGGAAATTACATGTCTTATCACTCCTTGAAAGAAAAAAAAAACGTAAAATATCAATCTAAAAGAAATTGGCAATTTTCTTGTACCACTTTATTATTTCTGTGTAAGTTACCAAGTGCCAATCACTCTTACTTTTTAAAATTCAAATTTGTCAAGCAGCATGTAAGCTTTCAGTGTTGTACAAGAAAAGATAATGCTTCATGTGGAACAGTCACTTATGCTAGTGCTGCAAAAGTGCCTACCAGAAGAGAATTGATCAGATCGCTGGTTTTATAGAAGTAGTAACGATCTCATTAAATTATCCCCTCTGCTCTGGGGTCACCATGGAATCCACTGAAAGGTAATCAACAGGGTATTATGGTTCTGGATATAGAATTCTTTACTGACATCAAAGTCCCTGCTCATTTTGTAGTGTATATTTTAACTGATGTAACAAGGTGATTGCCCAAGAATCGCTGCCATGAAAGCCCCCGTTAAATTGCACTTGGAAGTTAACAGCTATCATAACCTGACCGACATGTTGTGCCTTCCATCAGCTTAAGTGGGGAGCTCACTGCGGGTAAACTTTTAAAATGAGAAAGCAAGAATCTCATTAATATTTTAGCATGGCGGCGCACTGTGTATGTGTATTGAGGATAGCATCTGTGGTCCTGCCATGACAACAACAATCAATGCCGTGAGGTGAAAAGTCATGTTTTACAGGAATGAACAAACAAAATAAGGAAGGAAGCCTATTCTATTTGAATAACTGTTGACACTGTTCACAGTAAGAAATTCTGAGCTTCAATGCAGGAGGTGATGGAGAACAACATGGCAGTGACAAGGTCAGTCTTCCAAAAGTCTCAGTTTGACCTACTTCTGTCTGCTGTGGTGACTGATACACAACTCAGAGATGATGAAAAGTAGACCACTGTCAGCCACAAAGCATTCTGAGATACTTTGATAGTAATGCTGTCTTCAAACAAGCCCTGGATTGAGTTAAATATCAACCAAAGGGAGTGGAATGACACTCGTGAAATCATCCATA